TTGCCATGTGAATATGCCACCAGAAGCTTTAGCTTCAAACAAAATTGTTTCAAGACTGCTGTCCCTGAATCTTACCGTACTTGTGACAAGGTTCCCTTTCCCCTTTCTTCATAAGTGGAGATGCAAAGACATTGAAATTCCACGAACCATCCGAATGGATCATTTACTTGAGGTTTAATCACCCCCCAATCCATCCAAGGCTGCAGTCTGTCCGCAGTTGAACATCCAGCATAAACAATAGAAAATTGGACTTTTTAACATTAGGAAATTGAATTTCTACATGTAAAAATTGGTAAGTATCCATTATCAGCTTAACTCCTATCTCCTGTTTCCAAAGAAACCTAAGTCTTGAGATTGCTGTCGGGAACATAATTGTACTTCCCCAGCTTTTTAACTGTTCTAGGACTATTTTCAACAGAGATCATTGGCTTAAGTAAAGCAAAGCATCTGATAATGTGAATCTTAAACAAATTCACCAATCTGTTAGGCATGACACCTTGCGATGCCCCCTAACATTCCAATTTAGAGAATCAAACATTGTGAATGGATCTACTCCTAGTAAGCATAGAAAGAGCTCCATCATTTACTTTAGCTAGGATTCTAGCAGATGAATTTTCAGAGAGCTAGGATTCTAGCAGATGAATTTTCAGAGTTCTGAATCATATCCAAACGATTCAAATAGCTCAATTCCCTATTCCTTCCCTTTTTTTTTCCTGGACCTCTGAATCTGTCATTCACCCTCCACATCCTCTTGAGCTGCTTGAATCTCTTTTTCAAAATGCTTTTTTTCCCCCTTTTTCAACTTGCTGCATATCCTGAGAGCTTATTCCTTGTTCACCCATATCATCATCAATTTGCACTGTTGAATTTCACCAGATTGTCCAAGAGCATCCACCTGTTCATTATGCAACCCAGGTTCATTACATAGATGATTTTCTGTCAAAATTGTTTCTTCTCCTCTGATATGCTGATGAAAACTATCCGATTGAACCAATTCAATTTCCTTAGAAAGCTCATGTGCTGAAATCCTCAAGTTACTAATGACCTGCCCTTCTTGAACTTGTTTATTATGTTTCAACACCTTCTGCTGTTGCTGATTCTGCACTCTGTGCTGTCCCTGAACATTCTTTGCTTTATTTGTTCTGAGTTCTGGATGTGCAACAAAGCAATCATTCATATTATGCCCAAATATTCTACATTTAGTACAATACTTTGGAATGGAATCAATCTCAACTTTCTGCCAATGTCCAACAAAGCAATCATTCATATTATGCCAAAATATTCTACATTTAGTACAATACTTTGGAATGGAATCAATATCAAATTTCTGCCAATAAACATTCAAAACTTCATCAAACATGAAAGAGGTGATATCCCTCTCCACCAAAATTCTAGTAGTTGAAGGCCTGCTAAAATTATAAGTTGCCAAATCAATCTTGAAAGGCTTTCCAAAAATGGCTCCAATAGAATACAAAACTTTCTGATTGAAATAATATAATCTAAGGCCAGGAAATGTCAACCAGACTGGAATGATAGGAAGTTTATTAGATGATTCAAAGTTTGAAAACCATTTCAGCACTTTCATTCGAGAGTTCTCTATATACCATGTCTTACCACCAAATAATCTTGCATAATCCTCCTTCATACGAAGTTTAAAAATAATGTGTTTTCCATCTAAGGCTCCAACCTTTCATTCACCAATTAATTTGAGATTACCAAAACATTTTCTAATAAGATCCATCTTAGGATGGCCATAGGTAAATTTTCCAATAAGTGCATATTTTAGTGGATCAAATAATTTGATAGTTTCAGTTTCAGAGAAAAAAATTGCTGGCTTTCCACCTTTCCTTCTCGCCTTCTTTAAAACCTCTTCATCTAATTCTTTATCAAAGATATCATGAAAGTGATATGGGAACGTAGGAGAATTGTCAACAAAATTATTAGTGCCTCTAACCTTCTCAGCAAAGGTAGGGTTTGCTATGGAAACCTCAATCAGAACAACCAATGAAATAGTAAAATTAAGATAACAACAAAGAAACCCTAGATAAGATCAAAACAAAGATCTCAATTCAGGAGCACGATGAAAACACCAGAAGCAATACCAATTCAAGAAGAAAATGCTAGAAAATCATGAAAATATCCTTGCAAGAATTCAAACCCTAAATCGCAGAGAATTCACGCCTCTATCCTTTAAAAAAATTTTGATTGAAACATGTGCAATACATTGTATAACACAAACACACAATAATCTATCATTATATCATGAGTACTAAATCATGTTTCATTTAAGTAACCTTCTTTCTTAATATTTATGAACAAAGTGATAGTGAATTCAATGTCCCGATACATCAAATGTTTTCCCTATTGAGTCCTGTGCATTAGTGCAAAATTTAGTTTTATAAAAATACATATTAAATCATAGTAAAGAATAAAAAAATAATAAAAAATTAAATCATAATATGAGCATCATATTATTTTTACGGTAATTATATAATAAAAAGTTGCATTTAAAATATATATGTATATACATACATATACCACATTAACTATAGAATGATAACAATAACCAATTATGGACCCAACAATTTTTCCAATTGGCTTGCTTGGAAATTAGCCATAAGGCTTCTAAATCTAAGTTCTTTCTCTGCTTTCTCCCCTACGAAGCATACACACATCCAAATTAGCTTGTGTTTATTTTGAAGATGTCTTTGACATGGTACCAGCTCTAACGCTTCATATTGCTTCATGTCAAAATTTTTAGGGGGTGTATGGTAGCTCCTTTTAATTGGATTTATCACTAATTTATTAAATTCAACTAAACAGTAAAATGCAAGAGTTCCGTGGTTTTATGAATTTTTGAATTTAAGTTCCCAAAAACTGCCTTCAATTGAACTTAAATCTGAATTTACTAAATCTAATTATTGGGTGGATTTAACTGATTTACAATTTACGGATTTATTAAATTCTACTAACGCTAAATCCTATTTGAGGCCAAACAACCCGTTAGTGTGAAATTGAACTCTTAACATTTTTCCAATATGATAGAAGGCAGGACACACGATACTCAAAATTGGGGAGCACAAGTAGGACACATAAGCATCAAACTCTTACGAGGGGAAGAAAAACATGTACACACTTGCACCTTAGCCCTAACCAACAACAGGTATGCTTGCTAAAGACAAAGTCAAAGACTAAGCCACTTGGTCTCCCTCTCACATTTCTTTAAGCTGAACATGAGGCTGAGGAATTGAATTGCAAGCTTATATTCAAAGCCAAAAGACCTTTGATCATGAGCTCACAACCAAAGTCAAAGCCATAAAGGCGAATGTTTGAAACTAACTTCACTCAGCCTCTCTCTCAGTAGTTCTTCTAGTTGAAGTCATCATGTTGTGACCTTCAAAACCATCTTTGAAGCCGAAGCGATGCCCTTTTAAACTAAAGCTTACTCTAGTTAGCAAAATCAGGCTTGGATCATTTATTATCATTTAAATGGAGTTTTCTGCTTCGCAATTTGATTCAATATTTTCCTACTGTAAGTTTAGAAGTAAATCGATCATAGGGATTTTTATTTTAAATGGCTTGATAAACAAAGCTCTTATTATATTAAAGCAAGATTTAGTTTTTAATTGTTTTAAAGCACTTTTTGATGTTGTTTGGGATTTTTCAAGTCACATCTAAGACGGGTAATTTTTTAACTTGTAAAGTCCTTAATGTTTTTTTATTATTTAACATTACGATAACTTCTAAATCAGGTATTGATTTTATTAAAAGTAATATAAAACCATAATTGGTCTTCATAACCAAATTAAACAACATAGAGGCAATTCAAGCATGAGTCAATTTAGTGTTATAATGCCATATTTTGGAAGTAGTTCCCTATGACCTCAAAGTTTTGATTTTAAATTGTTAACTCAATCTTGTTCATTTTCTTATTGTGAATTTTCTTAGAATATATATCCTTTTATTAATTCACTTAAGAGAAATAAAGTCACTTTACAACGGGGAGAAGATTTAGTATTTATGCATGTTAATTTTCCTTTTTTATTTATGAGGGGCCCAAAAAGTAACACTACGTTATGATATTATTGATGAAAACACATTAACTAGAATGAATGATATTGAAATATTTTTTACTGGTGATATTGCTTAATCCATCGTTAGAAATAATATTTTTATAGAGAAAGGGGAAATTGCTTTGGCAACGAGCATAAGCGCTAGTGCTAGTGTGAAACTGGCATTAAGTGTGTTAGTCTAAATAATTATGGTTATCTAGTCATGCTTTATTTAGTTATTTTAAGGATGACATTGATATTTACTTTTTTGAATATTTTTTGTTGATATTCGTAAGGATTACTGATAGTAGCAAAACATGTAATAGCTAATTTGCGTGTTAAAAAATATTTATTATTATTATTATTATTATTATTATTATTATTATTATAATCATCATATTTTTTTGTCTTTTATCATTATAAAATTTCATTAGATATTATATTTCATGATGTGATATCTCTAGTAAGCGAATACTAGAATTTATATATATTTCGTTTATAAAGTATTCAAGCATTCCTATGGCATGTCCTGGAATTTGCAATTATATCAGATTATCACATCTTTGTGGTATTTTATTCATATCCTCATATATGTTTAATGAGTAAAAAAAAAAAAAAGGGTAAAATTCAGCTTTGGTTCAACTTTCCTAACAAACAAACAACTAAAAGAAGATCGACACCAATGCGTTGGATCCCATGAGAACTCTGCAATAAAGTGTGTTTGGGCATGAGTAGTATGTGGATTGGTAACCTCCTGGGTAATCTTCATATCGCACCTCTTATTAAGTAAATAAGCAAACAAATACATTATGCCAGCTTAGGAAATTGTTATCTAAACCTAAAGGTATGGTTTGGTTGATAATATGGTTTATTGAGCTTAAAGCCATTCCATAAATAGGCTATCGTCCTCTTACATTCTAGTAACATATATCACATCTTCTAATGCAGGGTGCGGCTATTGCATATGTTGCTGACCTGCTTTCAGTGCCCACCATCTTTATTAAAGCAGTGACCGACATCATCGATGGGGAGAAGCCAACTGCTGAGGAGTTCCTCCAGAATCTGGTTGCAGTCACTGCTAACCTAGATCAATCCGTCACCCAGGTGATATATTTCATTAATGGGAGGTGTCTCTCTGATCTCTGAATTATGGAAGTCACATTCTCTCTTTCAGTTTATATATACTCTTCCAATTCATAACTTGTTGTGCTGGATAATTTATATTGTTTATATATGGCTCATCTGCGGTGCACTTTTCTGTGCATTTTGAGATCCATTTGTGTTATTACCTTTTCTTATGGTTGATAAATCATCAAGGCTCCCATTTACCATGCTTTTTCCCCCATTTATGCTGTTTTGAACGTTGCAGCATTCCTTTTATAGTAATGTTCAAGTTTTGAAAAATGAGAATACTTTGTCAATTGAACTGTTATAATTTTTTATTTTTCTTTTATGAAAACATATGCAAATACAATGCAGTCATATTTTTAAGTTTTGAAATATAATTTTGTTAATAGAGATTTATTCTCTCTCTTGCTCTTTGAATGTTCTCCAGCTTCTGCTGGTCATCCTATCCCAATCACGGGAACAAGCTTGCCGAATGTCTATTTTATAAGGGAGTTGAACTCGTTCTACTTTTGGAAGATGTAATGTTGGTAGTTTGAAACACACTATAAGTCTCAGAAAACGATTTTTAGACTAGTTTTCCATTCTTTCTTGAGCATGCACAATTTTCCATTGATAATATCATTTGAATTAGAATTGGCTAGACACATTCTAGTATCAAAAACATTTTATTTATGATCATTTAAGATAGTTGATAGAGTGAGGTTATGTAATGGCATTTGACGTTGGAGTGAGATTATGTAATAATATCCCTTTAAAATTTTTTATTAACATAATTATATATAAAAAATGATTTACTTGTTACGAGACGTGTGAAGTAGGTGTCAGATGTCGTTCGAGCATCACTTTTATCGCATGTGAGAAGTATGCGAGTGCTTATCCCCTCGTTTCTTTCCATTCGATGTTTCCCATTCATTCGAACTCAACAAAGAAAGCTAGAGAGAGCGAGGGCTAAAGAAAAAAAAAGAACGAAGATGAAGTAGAGGAAAAAATATAAGAAAAATAAGAGGCAAGAAAATGATGAAGAATGCGAGAGGAGTACAGGAATAGAAGGCTTAGCAACAAGGAAATAGCGAAGTACTTTCCACGCTCGAGGGACGCCTCATTCCTATATTTCCACACGAACCATGTGTGCAAGGGCTCGAGCGGCACGCGAAAAACATTCCTTCGTGCGGGGAACACTCAATCGAGCAACCATACTCGCGACGAAGCTCGACCAACTTAAAATAGGACTTCCTTATGCGTAATTGATCACCTATGAATGAAGAAGGGAATATTGAGCGTTGTTTTCCCTATTATGTGTTTTTCCCTTGGTGAGCAAAGTTTTGCATTTGCAATCGAGAGAACTCGAGTGACATGCACGAAATTTTTTAGCGCGCGTGAGCGCTTGATTGAACGTGTGAGGGATTTGGGAGCTAGGAGGCGTGAGTTAATGGGGGGGAAGTCGAGTGCAGCAATTTCTACGCTTGACGGACTCGATCGAGAGCTTGAAGCTCTATTTCAATCGCTGAAGACTCGACAACAAGGAAATAGATGAGTTACTGTTTGAAATAAGAAGTTTTTAAGTATTTAATTTTACATAATTTAATTTGTTTTTAGAAAATCATTTTAATTAAATCCGTAAAAATTATTTAGGGTCAATTGATGATAAGGCTGAAATCAGAGAAGAGAAGGGGAAATTTCAGGTATGAAATCCAATTATAAATTTTAATTAGTATTTTTCTAATTCCATTAATGTGAAGTTAAAATATTTAATGTTATGCTAATAAGTTAAGAAGCCCAAATTTAGGGAATAATAAACTCGCTTTAAAATGAACCAAAACATTTGAACTTAAGTGATGAAAGTTTCGTATCTTAGTGTAGGATATATATAAGAGAAAATAAAGGAAAGTAAGGTTAGTTTGGAATTCAAAATGAATTTAAAAAAATTTGGGTTAAATGAATATTCTGTTTTTAAAGTTAACTATATTTATAGGTGGTTACCTTTTACAATTTATGACTAGTTATTAAAAACATATTGTAGTAATAATATAAAAAAGTAAAGTGAATTTTTCTAAATTAGAATTCAAAATGAAATAATAATATAATTAATATAATTAAAATTAAAAAAAATAATAATGATAATTGATATGATTTAAATTGTTCCTATAGGTGTAGCCAAACTATTAGATTGAACTAGGAAATGATAGATGACTGCACTGTGCAATTCATAAATATGTTTTTATTTTACAAGAGTTTTGTTTATTTACACGTGTTTTTGTTGATTCCTAACTTTTCTTTTAAAGTACAAAAGTTTATGTATTTCTTTTAAATGTTAAATGTAAGAAAATAAGTAAAATATGATATATGTATGCATGTGCGTCACCCCTGGAAGGTGGTATTGGCAGAGGAATGCAATGTACCTGTGCAAAAAAATAAAAATGAAAATGATTGCCTAATTTTTTGGTACATTGGAAAATGTAAAACATGTATTTTTTAAAAAAGTATTTATTTAGACGGTGAGTTTTAATAATGAATGTGTAACAAAATAAGTAAAATATAATGATTATTATTTATTTTTTACAAAATATTTTAAAGTAAGAATTTATTTAGAAATATTTACTTATTGAGTAGTTTAACTCAACCATTCAGTTGCCAATATTTTCACTCGAAAATCAGCTTCAGACTAGATGAATCTTAGAGGTATATGTACAGACATCAATGAGCGAAAGCTAATAAATACCATATGATAGTTTTTATTTTCTACCACCTGTAAATATTCAAAATCTTTATTGTAACTTTACATTTTATTAGTATAATAAGTTCATTTTAAGTATGAAATGAAACTCTTTAATGTTCTCCCTGAGTCTAACGGATGGTTCCCATTTTGATAATTTCAAGCTCCTTGCCGGATTGTGACAGATATAGATCACAACTAAACTTGTTGGTGAACGGTTTTTTTTTTTAAATATGCTTTTATAAATTAATTGATGATTAGATTATCAGATTAAGGTAACTAGTAATATTTAATATTTAATTAGGTTGATTTGTTTTAATTTGGGCTTATTAAATATTGATATCTTTAATTAATTAGAATTTAATTAGATTATTAATGTTTATAAGTAGATTATAAATGAACGAGTTGGCTTCTGAATGCGTCGGGCTTAGTTAAAAAGATTTGATTGGTTTTTGCTGTTCTAATTAGCACCGACCTTTTTTTCTTAAGTTTTAATGTATTTCCCAATGAGGAGGTTAATAAATTTTTCTCATTTCTCTAAAGATCATAACTCAGTCAAAAAAAATATTTGGGGGCATTTACACACGTAACATCTGTATTTACATATCTAACATCTAAACTTTAATTATTATATTTATACCACAATTCTCTTAGATCATATAAAAAATACCATTGTTTTTAAACATGAAATGCACCTTTCCATGCTCAGGTAAGTTGCATGCAAATTAAAATTGATGTTTAGGTGCTAGATATGCAAATACGAAAGAATTGAGTGCTATGTATATAAAAATTTTTTATTGTATTTTTTGTATTGTCAATTTGCAATCCAAGCCCAAGCTCTACGGCAGAAAAAGACCCCTTTTTTATTATTGTTTTTTAGTCTGAATTAAAAAAAAATGAAAAGTAATAATCAAAAGGAACTGATCTGAAATTTATTTTCGCGCTTTTTTTGGGTTCAACCTTGAAAAGTTGAATGAGAATTTTCGCCCGTAGTCGAAAGGAAATCTTTTATTTTCTCGCATAATAATGATCTAATCTAGTTTTTCTCTATTTTGTATTAGACTTCTCTTGAGTTATTAATAATAATAATAATAAAACATATTTGATTTGCTAAATCATAAGAGGAGAAAACATTAGTGTAACAGTGAAATACTTTAGGTAGAAAAATTATAATTTAAGAAAAATATTTAAAATTTATTTTCTATTTAAAAATAAGATAAAAAAACTGTTTAAAGTTTATCTTTAATTAACGGCAATAAATATTCTATTTATTTTTGTGATGGAAATTATATATCATTTTTTTATACAGAGGTTGAAGAACCGTCAGTCAAATTCAACCAAAAATATGACCAAGAGTTCCCTTCATTGAAGAAGAATCTATTTGAAATGGTTCCTACGGTTAAGAGGACCCTTGAGTATGTCATTGTTTGCCCTGCGGTTGAGTCCGTGAAAGTTGACCTTAAAGGGAATTCTATCATCAAAGAGAAAGAAGAAGAGTAATACACCTAAAATGTATAATCTTTATGTACATATTTTTATACGTATTTTTGAGATATTGCGTTTTAATGGAAGGTATTTTTGTGTTTTTCTTTCGGGTACAATCAAATGGATGAAAAATGGTGAAAAAAGTGAAAAATGATTAAATTTGGAGCAAAAATGAAGAAAGTGTGCGAAATAATTGTGGTGCCTAAGCATCAAGAACTGACGCTTACGCGCCGGTAAAACAGTGAAGGCTAGAACTAAGTGCCCAGTACCTCTAACTTAAGTGCCAGAAGTAGTTACTTGGTGATTCAATGAATTTGGATGAATTTTTGAAGATGTGTTTGAAGCCCAAAAAAATTGCAATCGTCCGCAGAGATGTGTACGTAATAGGATACACAGACGTTATACGGGGGTTACAAGGGGGTTACAAGCGTGTTATAACTTCCTTGTAACTTTCGTGTAACTCACCTGTAACCCGCGCTTTTATTTTATCCATTGGGGTTACAAGATTACAGCGGGGTTACACGGGAGTTACAACGGGGTTATAACCCCTTGTAATCCCCGTGTAACCCCCGTGTACCCTTTTACGTACGTAACTCCTACGTACGCTTGACGTACGCAATTTTTTTCCGTTTGAAGCAACCCTTAGTGAAAAAAATGGAAAACAGTTAATGGACACGAAAATACATTCAATTGGCTTTTGAAAGGAGGTAACTTTTGGAAAATTCATTGAATGTGGACATATTTCGAAGAGACACCAAGACACATTTTAGAAAATTATAAAAGAAGACTTGGATTGAAGAACCAAGGGATCTCCAGACCCCCTTCCAGGTGCCAAAAAATGCCATCGACGCCCATAGCCACACGCCACCACCCCCTTTTATTTTTAATTTTGAGTGGTAGTTTGTACTGTAAGTGAAGGAAGAAATTCAAAGAAACTTCAATATTTTGGTGGAAAAGATTTGAATAAGTTTTTATCTTTGTGACTACATTTGGTTTTAATTTAGACTTCTTCTTTGTTTGTGTGATTTCTACTTTCAAA